GCATCAACCAGCTCTCATGGAGGACTGTTCCTATGTTTGACTACCCTAAAAAAAAATGAAAGAAATGTAAGTACATGCTCCAAAGGTCCAGTCTGAACCTGCTCTGGTGCAGCTCTGAACCATTACCACACATCCTCTTGCCAATGGATACCAGGGAGTAGATCTCAGCCATCCTCTCCACTGCCCCTCCTTAGAAAGCTGTAGAGAGCAATGGGGTCACTCCTCAGCCTTCTCTCCAAAGGAGACAAGTCAGAGACCTTCCTTGTCCCTCACAGGACATGCCCACTTGGAGCTTAGTTCTTAGTAGGGGGGTTGGCTCTGACTGGACACTAGGTGCCACCAAAGCTGTTCTGTCACTCCCTTCCTCAGAGGGACTGGGAAGAGAAAATAAAATGAAAGGCTTATGGGTTGGGATAACGGCAGGGAGAGATCTCTCAGCAGTAACCATAACAGGAAGAACAGACTCAACTCAGAAAAATTTAATTACTAATCAAACCAAAGTAGGATAATGAGAAAATAAAAAATATATCTCCAAACATCTCAACCCACTTCTCCCTTCTTCGGGGGCTCAACTTCACTCACAAATTCTTTATACTCTGTTCCACAGTGGGACAGGGGGATGTGGAAGGGGGTTGCAGTCTGTTCAGCACCCATCTCTGCCGCTGCTTCCTCCTCACAGGGTGGGCTCCCCACACTCATCTCCTGCAGGGAAATTTCTTCTCTGGCACCTGGTCCACCTCTGTCCTTCCTTCTGCACTGTCTGCAGGGCTGTTTGTCTCATATATTGTCACTCCTCCCTCTGGCTGCTCTTGAGCAGCAGCTTTGTCCTCTTCTTGAATGTGTTATCAGGGCACCACCACCTTCCCCGATGAGCTGAGCCTTGGCCAGCAGAGGGTCAGTTGTGGAGCCAGCTGGGATTGGCTTCACTGGACATGGGGGAAGCTTCCAGAAGCTTCTCACAAAAGCCACCCCCATGGTCCTCTTCTACCAAAACCCTGCCACACAAAGGCAACACAACTTATGTCTCACTAGCCTTCAGGAGATACAGATTGAGCTTCTTCTGGCAAATAGACCAAAGGCTGCCCCTCGAGAGAATGGGTTTATCAGATCAGCAAACTGGAGCAGTTGGACGTGAACGGATGTGCTGTCCTTCAGTGTCCTTCCACAAGATCAAGAAGCTTGCCTTAAATGTAACAGCCTGGAACAACATTAGGCTCAGAAAGCCCAGCATATTTGTAAATACACAATACTGGATCAAAAGGAAATTTCAACTTGTTATTATTCAGCCTTTATAAAATTAAACATGTCTTTCTTTTTGCTTCTTGACAAAAAATTAGCCAAGATGCTCAACTCTATGTTTCAAGATCTACTCATTAGCTCTTCTAGAACTGCATGCATAGACTGGCAACACCTTGGTTACAACAGAAATGTTTTAAATTTAACCTGAAGTAAAGCATGTATCAGAAATAATTTTGAAAGATGTAAAAATATTCTGTAAAAATGTCTGCAAAGCACTTGTTTTAAGTATCCTGCTTAATCTATAAATCTTCTGCTTTTATCAGTACAGGTACAGTGCAGCAACAAATGAGATCAGTGTCTTTTCTCATCTATGTCCTAAGACAGCAATTTTTTATAATTAATATTTTATAAATTGTAAAGATACATTATTAAAGCAATTTGATACTGATACTCTTCTGGGCATCTGTGGAAGAGGCTTTTAGCAATGCTCTTCTTTCTTGAAGAGCATGTTCCTTTGAAATGCATTTTTTCTTAGAAAGGGTGCCTCTCTCTATTTTCAGCACTGTACTTGGACGTTGTGGTATGTCTTATCAGCTCAGTCATAGTCCATTGACTTGCATTTTGTAATGTGGAATGAATGTACACTTACTTTTGGATTACAAAAGGAAGATAATACAACAGAGTTGCGATGTTTTTGTCTGCAATGATAGAACACTTCCAATCCCAGAGATAATATTACCTGTTAGGGGCAGGTAATTACCTCTCATTTCTATACTGATGAATCCAGGGCTCTTGTCAGCCTTCCTATCTGTTTCATACAGAATCTGCAGCAAGAGTTTCCTAGATTCCATGGGAATGGGAGCAAAAGTTCATTTATCAGCACTAGCAATTTGGACAGCTACCTCAAAATCAAAAGGGGAAAAAAGTTATTTTTAAGACCACTTAAGGGAAAGTGGGAGACCAGTGCATTAACCTACTCAGTAATCTAGATGTTTATAGAAAAGCAGAGTGTAACAGAGCTAGAAAAACAATATAAGAAGGAATGAAATGCTCACAAAGGACAGGTAAGAAATGCAACTCAGCACGAGTTGATGAAATAGCCTGTACTTAAAGTAATGATGAAGTGGACAGATATGGTATAAGCCCATCTTAACCACCAGCAGCACAAGAAAGCAGTGCAGAAAAAGACTTGGCTGTTAGCATCTATCCCATGAGAAATACATCTCACTAGTGTCATGGTGGTGAGGAGAGGGAAAAAAAAAAAGCAAAAAGAAACTAATATAAAAGAGCCCCCTGAAATGAGTACTGTCTCTGAGACACATGAAGCCATTATTTCCATTTCCTCAGCATAGCACTCAGATGTGTTGCAGTAGCCAGTCTGGCATTTGAAAGAGCTACCAAATAGAAAGGTTCCAGAGCAAAATGATAAACAGGATCTGAGAGCAGAAAATTCATAAGAAAAAGGGATTATTTGGTTTTGCAGGGAAGAAAGCAAGGCAGGAAGGGTGGCAGCCATTTTCAAATACAGGAGGACAGTGAAAAAGCAGAACCCTCTCACAGCCATTAGAAACATATAAAGGAGTAATGGATCAGGTGATATAAAGACTGATTAAGGTTAGACAAAAGCCAAAACCAAGATCATTTAAGTGCTGAAATAGATGCTTGGAGAAGCTGTGAAATCACTACTCAGAGGAACTGCACAGGTTTATCTGATTCTGCCTTCAGGCAAGGAGGACAGACAGGTGACTGACTGCTCAAAGACCTTTCCTGCCCTCTTGCCATGATTTCTATGATTCTGCCCTGTCTCTAACTCCCTCTAAAGTGGGAATGAAATGTGACATACCTCTAACCCCGTCTGTAATGACAAGCAAGGATGAGAAGCAATACGTGTATAAGGGCAAGTGATAGAAAGCTACACAAAGAAATACAGTAACTGATACAAGCAATGTCACCAAATATTGCAATATACATCCACGCTTTCCTCACCAGCAATACCTCTAGCATTTATAAACTGTCTGATAATCTAACATAGATCTCAATTTCTTGAGTGAATATCAGTGCAGTCCTATATATATCTTGAGCAAACAATATAAAGGAGAGGTCAGACTTTGAAATTGAATTTAAAATGCGTTCTAAATCAATGATATTCAGGAAAATAAGTGTTTCAATTACTTTACTTTTCCTATTCCTAACAAAATAAACCTCAAAAGCAGAAGATATTGCAAATACTCTCCTTCAACTCTTTCAATTTCTACTAGAATTGAAAGGACTTATAATGGAAGAAATAAAGGGAATACCTGTGGCAAAGTTAGAGATTTTTGTGCTTTAATACAACGTTAACACCACTTCACGTTATCTAACATGCAATTTCCCCCAGTGTAAGTAACACCAGAGGCCTTATTACTGTGTCTCACCATTTCAATTTTTCCATCACTGATAAAAACTGCATCTTGTTTTCAGTTTGAGTTCTTCACTACAACCATTTGTTTTATGTATTTCTCTATTATTATTTCTAGACTATGATTCTGCAACATGAATATGTAGGTAGGTTTGGGCACTCAAGAATCAGAGAGACAAAAGGATTCTGTTAATTCTCCACAGCCACATCCCTTCCCTTTTTCCTAAATGAGAGCAATTACATATTACATATACTACACATCTGTAATATAAATATACCTAAAGAACTGACCCAGACTCCAGTGTACTTTTTCAAACATCAAGTAAGAAATTCACTACCTCTGTCATGAAGATTTTAAACTATAAAAATAACCACAGAAAAAAATAACTTGGACTAAGTTACCACCAAATTGGCCTCATAAAAAAGGAATCTATATTGTTTTGTTTTGGTTTTTTTTAATTAAAATTAAGGTTTTCTACCAGGCGTTTGAAAAAAAATGGTTCTTCCTTCCATGCTGACCTTTTAATTAATTTCATTATAAATTAAGAACATGCTTCATATTCAAATTATACCACAGAAAAGTTATGCCTAGAACATTTGGAATGTATTTTTTTGTCTTTTACAGCTATTTAATACTATGTTCTTATTAAAATCTCTGATTGTATTACTTAAAACAGAAATTATCTAACATTAAAATTGAATTATTCTTTTTAGTATCTTGCAGCCACTAAGTGATAGTTAGAGAAAGTGAGAAGGTACTATTATCCTAGTCTTATCCAGAAGTAAAACTGAGGTAAAAAAGTGAAATCACCTGCCCAGTGTTACATTGTGTGTCATGCAGGCCTGAAATCAGACCATGATCCTGCATATCAGGCATAGCACTTATTTTTGCAAGTCTTTGTAGGATTTGGGCATCTGTCTCAAAGGAACTGTCTAACCATTTCTTTGGGTTATTATGTTACATCAAAAAAGTGCTAAATCTGTGCTCCCCAGAAGCATGATTAATATTTGTCTTTAAATATTTCAAAATACAGAGAAAGAGAAAAAATTCAAAACAGAGAAAAAGAAAAATCAAAAAATCTCAGTAGATCTAGTTAATCTATCATCATATCTAAACCAATTACCTAACAAGCTGCCAGGCACAGATTTACAGTGACACAAGAAAAAATTGCCTTGAACATTTTTAAGAGTGTAGCATCTTTGCTCAATCAGCCCCATGACAGAGAATGTTAAAAGTACTCCAGAGAAATACAAAATTGTGTTGGGACTGTTGATTTTCAAGGGCTTTCTATCTCTTGTGTTTCTATTCCAAACCCTTCAATTCCTGTACTTCTATTGCAGTTAAAACAAACATAAGACATACCTTGATTGTACTAGTGTGTGCACCAGGATATTCTTTCTCCTCCAGTGTTGACCAACGTTGTATAAATTTTGACACCACGGGATCATCATAGTCAACTATCTGAAATCCTGAGACATTAGCTCCTCCAAACTGAATTTTTGACAAATCTCCATCAGTAAATCCCTGAGCACAGAAAAAATTGTCCGTTATTTGAATAGTTTTGGCAGTTCTCTCAATAGTGTATAAAAAGCAAGAGTTACCATATGACCTCTACTGCAGAACAGTAAGCCAACATTTTCCTCAGACTGGATCCAACTTAAATCCTGTGCTGCCAGGATTAAGTCACCAGTTCCATCAGCCACCAATGCTTCTTGCTGCCCACTAGACAAACACTTTTATAGAGAGCAAGAGCAGAGTGGACCTGTCCTTGCCATTCTAAACATCCTGTTAATTTCAAGGGGACCACTTAAGTGAGAAAAGGAACATTACACATGAGTAACAGGCAAGCAGGTTTTAGGCAGGAATACTTACAACCACAGCTCTATCCTCTTTTTTAGGAACTCTAAAGCATGGGGAAGGACTTACCATCTCCACTGCCTCCTCCCTCTGACATAAAGAACTACTTCTCATTCTTACAAAAAGTTCTTGTGTTCTGTTTTCTGTTATTTAACTTCACCCAAATAACCCTACAAATGCATTTCCATGAAATAATGATGTCAGACACTTATTATGAATAAATGTTGTGAGTGAATACAAAAAGAAGCAGCAAATTCAAACCACATTATCAGAAGTTGCTACGATTGCTATATGAGATCCTCTTTAATGATTGCCTATTAATGATCCTCGTGTTGTTGCCTGCTAATACAGACACTGCTACACGGGTCATGTAACTTGACAGTTGAGCAGGAACATTCATTGTATATTCAAACATTCATTGTATATTCAAACATCTTCTCCAACTATCAGAATGTTTAAATTCTCAAAATAGATACATTTCTTGAATGACTGATCAGACTGGAGGAGAATATTACTACAGTCCAAAAAGAAGAAAGCAGGCGGATTCAGTGAAGATACGATTCAAATACTAGATAAGTTTTTCTTCTGGCAGAGAAAAACAAGTTTTTAAAATCACTTCCATAAACATTTTATACATGATATTAAACAGCTTTAAAATGTAAGATTCAGTAATTTTTAGATCTTATGGACTTACTGCTACAAATTTAAAGCAACAGCTAAAATAGTAACCAGTTAGCATCATGAAATCCACTGGGCACATTTTCTAAAATTTCCCTTAAGACTCAAAATACTGTTTATCCAACATTTGCAAAGTAAACCACAGATGTCTAACAGATAATTTCTCACATTTTGTAAGACTTTTATGCCTGCTTTATGAATATCAGCACCTCAACTTCTTTATCCAAAAATTAGTTATTTAGATATAAGAATGAAACCCCAGTGCTCAGCTTTTAAAGAGGCCTTTAAAGCAAAAGGCTTCTTCACACGGTGGCACCCACATGACTCTTCAGAGCACTGCCCGCCTGGAGGGGGAAGTGTTTCCATCAAAGGCCAGGAGGAGACAGGGGTTATGCCTCCAGGGCCAGAGACACACCATGCTCCTTCTGTTTCCTCAGGCTCCTCAAAGCACTGTGGAAGACAGTGTCAATTGGGGCACTCTGGGCCCTGCTGGAATTTATATCAAACACTGTCACAGTTCAAGAATGAATGATGAAAAAAATGGTTTGGTGGCACTCACACTATAAAACCCCCAAAACTCTTTTCTTGAGCAGGATAACTGAGATTTGAGCATACAGAATTTCCTTGTCTGTCACAAAAAAAAAAAAAAAAACAAAACCAAACTGGATTAGTTTCCCTAGCTTCAGCAAGTGTTTATAGGCTTTAATATCAGTAAAATGGCCCGCCACCTAAAGACACAATGTCAAAAAAATTCCCTTGACAGAATTTAGTGAGTTTTCTGAGCTTTCCCTGCAGGAACACTATTAGCTATACAGTGTGATCACCTAACTTCAAGAACACATTAATCCAGATTGATCACCCAGCCAATCTGAGGGATGAAACGTGGAAATCCGAGACTCACTAGTCTAGCAAAATGAAACATGAAAACTGTGGTTCTAAAGTAGTTTAAAAGTTGTGAGAGAGAAATCACCACCTTGCTGAATAAATGTATCACCCTATGATGCAGAAAGTTATTTTTCTATTTTACATACACTCTTTTTCTAAAGTATGTAGAAAAAGAGAAGTTCCATTGAAGGTGCTGAGCAACCTTCATTCTCATTGATGGGAATATCATAAGAGGCATTTAAACCCTGAAAACACTCAGCCAATAAACAAACATAATCTCAACACATGCATTCATTTAGCAAGGATAAAGACATCTAGATATTTTTTCTGTTTTCTAAAATGTGTTTGGAACAAAGTACTAGTAGATGTACTTCCATAAACAGTCAAAGGAGCAATACAGGTATTTTAAATACTAAGAATGCTTACCAGATTTGCAATGATATAGTGGTATCCTTTAACATGTTTACCAATTGTGATAACCTGTAAAAAAAGAAGAAATACCCTCATAATGGAGAATGTTCACTTGGCATACGGACAAAGACTTGAAAGGTACAAAATGCACTGTGATGTAAAAGCTAGTTAAGAGCTTTACGGCACACGATACTGAGTTTGTGTGATGCTTTATCCTTTATTTTGCCTAATGCACCACTGAGCATACTCTGCTGCTAGAAATTAGTTGAAGTCCAAGTCCCAAGAGGGAGAGTCCCTCCAGACACAGGAGGTGAATGCTAACTACTGTGGTGCGCCTCACAGACTCCTGTTAGATTCTGCCCACTGACATTCATGAATTATGATGAAACCTCGTAAAGTTCAAATTGTTTATTGCTCTAAGTGTTCCTCACAATCTCCCTCAAAGCCAGCTGGTGTCTTCTCAACAGTGTCTGCTTGCAGACCCGTAGCATGGATTCTTCTCCCACTTAAGCCTAACTAAGACTATGTCTGCAAGGAGAAGTTTGCATTTTGAAGCTAAGCACTTTTCCAGAGGAAGGATGTGCAAGATAAGAGGAGTCTAGAGGTTTATTCCATCTTTGGAACAATGAGAACAATGAACTTAAATTAAGAGAGGATGACTCATTCATTTCCTCATGTAACATATAACTAAAATATTCAGACTAGGTATTCTGAAACTTTTATCAGGGTACTACTGAACAACATTCCACATACTTGGTTTAATGAAGTTACAGAAATATAATTGAAAGCAGTTATAACATTGAGTTTACATTACTAGAGTTTGAGACTCAGAGGGATCACATTACATAGGCCATGGAAGTAATAAAATTTTTCCTCTTTTGAGGTTAATATATATATGATATATGAACTTAAGTATCCTTAAACAATTACCTGATCAGACTACTTAAAATAAAATAATTACTAAGAGGTTTAAGAACTATTTTCAGGTGTATTTCTTACGTAGCTGCTGCTTCCAAAGAAATTTCAGTTATACCAAATAAATTAGCTCTTCTGTATGAACTATTTCTTCATCATTGGTATCAGAGAAAACAACCAGCAGCTGCAAGCCTCTGGATCAATGCTCAGTAACTCTGCTCCAGCTGCCACTGGGTACTTTTTTATTAACCCAGCTTGCTAAAACTTGCCACTTGTCCACTAAGGATGAACACTGAGGATGCTGCCAGTTACAACCAAGAAAATTCAGTGGTAGTACCAAAAGCCATGATGAAGGAGCTGTGCACACAAAAGCTTTTCAGCAGTTCAGAGGACCTTCTGTAGCAGGGATAGACAAGTAGTGGCAGTAATTACAGAGTTGCCCAAAGGGTGTTATCAGGGTGAAATGAGATTCTGCAAAGGAAGCTGCTGAGAAGAGACAGCAGCTATATAATGAAGAGCATGATAACACAGACCTGCCAGATCAGAGGAATATAAACTAGTCTGAGGAGAGATGGGAAACTGAAATATTTTTCAACTTGCATGATTTGTTGAAATCTGAAGAGAAACTATAACATGAGACAAAAAACAAGAATGATTAAGTGACTTTGGAAATACATTTTGTGCCAATACAAAGATCCAAGGGCTACAAAGTGTACCTGGGTAAACCTGAGGCTGTCACCTCAGTTTAAAATACTTGCAGGATAAATCAAAGCACTAAAATGAAAGATTTGTTCAACAATAGAAAGCAAGGAAGGTAGTGACAAAGTTGTTCCTTTATGTATCGAGCAATGCAAATAGTACTTTGGTATTCAAGGAAAATCTGGTTAAGAGAAAGCCTGTTGCATTTCTTGCAGCAAAAATACACAGTAAAAGGGACACTCATATGATGTGTCTACTTCAGGCATCCTCATGAAATGCAGGAGTTTTTCAGAGCAGGAATTCAAATAATTTTTCAAAAAATAAATCCGGTAGCAAAGCAAGACCTAAAGTATGCTACTATTAGAAAAGACAACCAGAAGAACACACTCAAAGGATACTCACAAGCCAAGAAATTCATTGTTCAGCATTTAATTTTAAGAGATGGAGAAAACTATTAGAGAATCAGTTAGTTAGACTTTTTTTTAGGCTACTTGAGAAATAGAAAGTGGGTTTACCTTTAAATGTAAGGAAGGGAAGTTTCTGAGTGTAAGGATAATGGGCTTAAAAACCAGACCAAAGTGCAGAAACAACTAGGCTATCTTGTGAAGAGAATTCCAAGATGAAAGCCGTTTGGGACAGTTGCAAACAGTTTAAGAGAACATACTCCAGGGCAGAGCATGTAATAATAATAAACTATTTAGAGGAGAACAACTAACTAGAGTTATATTAACTGGCATATGAGGCTGATTTGGCTGTTATGTAGGATTCTTCAGTGACTTACAAATCAAAACAGCAGAAACAAAAGCTTAGCCAGCTGTATGTCTGAGGAGTAGCACAAGTCTGTGGGGATGAGCTGAGAAACTCTAAGGGTCTAAAAAAGGCAGAATCCATCAAAGTGCAACTAGGGCAAGAAAAATATCCCAGAACTGCAATCAAAATAAGAAGCAGACAAAGACAAAAATAGGTCTATTATGAAACAAAGACTGTAAAAATGAATGGTAACTGAAGGGTAAAGAGGGTTCTTGTCTATAAAAAGTGACTAAAAGGTGAAACTAAAGAAAATTACAGACAGCCAAAGCTTCACATCAGAAATTATAATGAGTATTACATACTTATTTTAAAAAGAATGTATAGGATAGTAAGATAATTGCTAAAAATAGTCTTGTCAAGATCAAAATATGTCAAAGCAGTATCTTTCTTTTCTCTGGTCTGATAATAAGGAAACAGCAAGATGTGACATATCTTGAGTCTAACAAGGTGATTGTTCTGTTGGACGTCATTAGAAACTCACAAGAGACATGGACAAGACAAAAAGTCACTCTAAGATAAGTAAAGAACTGTTTGAAAAGCCACACAGAACCAGCTGAAGAGGACCTATAAGGACTACTTATGTCAAACATTGCTCTACATTGTACATTTCTTGACATTGATAAGTCAGAAAATACGATTTTGAAATACTGCAGATGACAGAGAGATCACACTCTCAGAGATCAAATGCTCTTGAGAACAGGATCAAACTCAAATTTATCTTGAAAATTAGAAAAAGGATTTGTGGATATGAATTCCAAATAAAACACACAAACACAATGTACTCCATTAAGGACACTGCTCATTGTCTGAGCCTCTTCAAAATATAACGACCTTCAAAACAAAGACCAAAATAACAAGCCCTTCAAAAAACCTTCAAACAAATACATCCCTACTCAGATGATACATCCCTACTGATGCTGCACAGTCTCACATGATGAAGCTCAAGCCAACAGGGAACTATCTTTACAATTTTCCATTGTGCTCTGCATGCATGAAAAGCAGGAAGGTACAGAGCCAGTAAGAACTTCCTAGACTCTAGGACTGAAGTGGCAGATTTCAAAGTAATGCAGTAATTTGAGTCAGAGCACCATGATAATGTTGCTAAAAAGAAGACTTTTTTAAAAAGTCATTTTGGCAAATAATTTGCATGGGTGGAGAGAAGACAGATTTTGCTGTTCTTTTTAAAGCTCAGGAGGCGTTAGCTATGAAAAACAGCATCCAATTTTGGTTAACACACTTTAAAAGTGACACAAAATGAAGAGACAAGCAAGGAAAGTACAAATGATAAAGAGCTTCAAAACACAAATTTGAAAGGGCATTTGATGAGGAACAGTAGCTCTGATACAGTCTTCCCAAGACATAAAAGGTTCTCAGAAAATGCATTAGAGGGAGAAAATACCTTCTAGGTGTAAAAAAAACTAATCCTTAGACATAACTATCTATATTGGACCAGATATAATAGTGTATCAACTATGTATGATACAGTATACTACTTAGGCTGTAAAAAAGTCTGAACAAGGTATTTTGTAAATTATTGTTTTTCTTTTAAATAACCAGGATAGAAAACTATACAGGATCATCCAGATAGAATTATCTTGAGTTTGGGCAAAGGAGGGAGAGATAATAGGATTTGTATGTTCACTTTCTCCCTGGCACATATGCAGTCCTCAATACAAGCTTGTCACTGCCAAATGATTCATGACAGTGACAAAAATACCATCAAAACAAATGAACTCATTACATTTACTTATAGAATACTGCTAGCTGCTGTCACTGAAGAAAGGAGAATAGCAAACCTGATCAACAATGTCGTTGACTTTATCGCGTTCACAGTCCAAAATCACTCGTCTTTCCTTTTTTACCTCTAGATCTTGAAACAATGAACGGTAAGTTTCATCTTTTCTCTCGTTGTTAATATTTCCTACATTGATAGCAGTCACTTGCCATTTCTTTTCAGCAGCAGAATCCAGCACAGCTTGCAATGTTGATAAGCCTGGCAAAGCACAGGAGAAAACAGAAGATATGACAAAGCTTCAGGAATTAACAAGCTTCTACAATGTGATTTGTGAGATCACTTATTTAAGTTCACTTATTTAAGTGTAACTTGTTTGACCTGTCACAAGTAGCTAGAAATCAGAAACTAAGATATATGTGGGCAAAATCAATTATTATTGCATGAAACTTCCATTTGCATCACTGCAAGGCATCAAGGTAAAGCCTCATAAGTGCAACCTTTGGGCTTGGCCCAATCTTCAGAATTGGATTTGGTTGTTTTCACTGATCCACTGCTGAAATTCCACACAGTGGGAAAGAGATCTTCTAGGAGAGGAGTAATCCAATTAGAGCAAAAGGATCAGCTTCTTATTAAAAAAAAGGATCAGCCTTATTAAAGGATCAGCTGCTTAAACAACAGCTATTGAACAGCTTTTGTTCCCAGCACTTGAGCAGAACTGTATTTAAACCCGGACCTCACTGAAGTCTATGGCAGAATTCCCATGTTCTGCAGCAATGGTAATGGATTTATTATTTCTGCTTCCTATAGTTACATCCCTGATTATGAAAGATGTGCTGAGATATATTTTTTCCATATAGATAAGCAGGCTCAACGCTAACACCTACAAGCAGTGTAGAGAAGTTTCCTTCCTTCCATCTCTTACTTTTGGCAAGTTCCTGACAGGAGCTGTAATGTTTGTACAGATGCCTGTGATATACTGTAAAACCAGTGAAGATTTTACTTGACAGATTTTACTTTTTAGGGATGAGCTAATGTAGTAGAGAAACATGAAAATTACTGCTGGAAATTAATTCCTGCTATACAAAAAGTACAATTTTAATGACTTCCAGCAGTACAAGAATGAGACTTATCATGTTTCAATTCCTACTAGAGAGTTCTGCATGATTCTAGAGAGTAGTTTTAGGGATACCAGATACTATTATAGGAAAAAAAATTCGATTTCTTATGAGTAAATTGACATTTTTTTCACATTCTTCTCTCCTGAAACCACCAAGCATCAGGAGTCATTTCTTTGAGACAAATTCTGACGTGGTAAGTAGAGGGAGGTTTAGGTATAACTCTCATGAGAAATAATAGTGGTTATACCCATAAATATAGAAGGAGAGCACTAAAAATTAATTTGTCTCACAGTCTGTAGGTATAATATTAAATTAAGATTGTTCAGTGTTTAGCAATTCATCTTCATCACTGAAAATGGTAATGACACACAGCACTACACAAGACTGGTCATCAGCAAAGGCAGAAAATGGCAGGCTTCCAAAAGCATAAATTGAATTATTATCTTATACAATTCTGGTTTGCCAAGTCTCTTTAAAGAAAGACTGTTATTAAGTTTTGTATGTCATGTAATGATTATTTATTTTAAAATCACAGATAAATACAGTCCACCGGTACACATAAACTATTTCAAATCCTAAAGATGAATCTGGAGAACTTGCGTTAAATGGGAAAGATTAGTAATGTAAGCAAACTGAGAGATGCAGGGAGCATCTTAATACACTGAAAAGCACTAAAGTATGTTTAAACCTCAAAATACTGCTTGAAATGATGAATTAAAATTTTTTAAAAAAGACAAATCAGCCATATTGAAGCCATTTATTCTGAACAATTGTTTCAATTATAATTTAGCAGATTTCAGGCCCTCCAACCTGTCGAAATTTCCTCTGAATTAAATAATCTCAACTAGGCCCAAATTAATAAGGACTATTAATGCCAATACCACCCATTGCAAAGGGTTCCTTTATTTACTCCTCTGATCTTCTGTTTTTCCTAGGGTTTCTCTTTTCCTGAGGTACTCTCTGCAGAGATATCAAATGGCTGCCTGGATTGCTTGTTTTATTTTTTTGGGGCAGCAGATTTGCCATCCCCATACAGCTTAGCTTATTCTGATAGCAATAACATGTTGCAAAATCACAAAAAAAAAAAACAAAGATAACCAAACAGAAAGCATTTGCAGCAATACTTTTGTGAAAGTAAAAATGAAAGTGAAATTTTCTGAAGGGTAGTAACAAAAGTGGGAGACTCTGCAGAGCAGAAAACTTCAGCAACTTCAGCTGCTATTTTTTAAGCTGCATGAGTACTTCTGCCTGGGAAACTCATGTCCTGAACCTCTTTTGGTTATCATGAGGCAAACTTTTAAAGCAGTGAGCTTTGGAAAAGGAAGATGAAAGAGAGGCTGAATAACTGAGCAATTCTTTTACAGATACAATAATGCTTCTACTTTTTCCAAAACTTAGTGTTACTAATGGCGGAGAGGATGCAAGGATGGTAAAGAACACTACTCCACATTCCATGAGAATAACTACTGCATTAAGACAGTAATGACTTGGGCACACATATACTGAATGGCCTCACTCCTTATGGACAGGAATGACAGCAAATTGCCCTGTACTTCAGCCACTCAGTCCCTAAACACAGAAGTGCTCCAACACCAGCAGTAAACAATTCTTTAGGAATAAGTCATCAAACTAATTCTTATTAGCCTTTATAGTTTCCATGAAATTAAGTAAGTCTCTTTGCCTTTTTTTATCTCACTCCTGAAGGTGAAAACATCTTCAATTCTATATCATTCCTTAAATATACATCACTGTCACTACAGTAACAGGCAAAAGTGCTTAAAGGAACAGTGGACTTGTGTATCTGGGATTTGATGTCAATGTAGCTGGCTACAAACTGCTGGACTCTGCAGACTGACCTCATGCAATCTGTGGGGAGCACTGAGGAGCAAGGATTTACTCCACATAAGGGTAGGAACTTCATGCCTTGGAGCTTGTTATCACTGGGGTGCCTTGCCACAATTAAAACCAAGAGGTAAGTAAAAAAGGAAGAACCTAAGGGTGGCTAGAAAGAACAATCTGATGCTGTTATTCCTGGTCAGATCCAGGCAGTGCAGCTCACAAGAACTAGGTGTTTTTCAGTATTTCCTAAATATAAATCACATGCAGGTCACATTCTGCCCACCACTAGATGACTGACAGAGTACTGACTGAGAAAATAGTTTTACATCTGTCCTTTCTAAAAAGACAGCGAATGTTTCTGATTCTAATGTGAATTTGAAAAGGAACTGCCAGAGAAATGAGCATAGCATTCATTGTTCCATGTGACGTTACCTTTGGAGGCTACATACCAGGATTAGTTCTTCTAACTGGAATGCTTACAAAAGTGCTACTCTCTTGAGGAGACCCCTTCAGCTTCTGAACATCACGTATAAAATGGCATCAGAATGCAGGAATTTAAAGTCACCCCATTACTCAAAAAACCATGGAGTGGTATAATCATGCTTTAACTCTATTAGCATTTTATAATTTAAAATGCATTTAACATTTAACTCTGGCCAATGAACACACAGAAAAGTCACAAAATAGCCTCTTTAAAGGGAACAGTAGTGGGTAAGATAGAAGAAAGATAGCCAAGGACTACTAGGTGAGGACAACCTGAAAATAGAATGATAACAATGGAATTCCAGAAAAACCAATCAAAAACCCCACCTTTTCTGGATAAAGCTACTTCTTCTTAGAAAACTAACTGATATACCACAATTTGCCAGTGACATTTTCAAGTTCATAAACTGTTATAATATTTCTACTACAGCCATAAAAGAGCATGAGAAGGCTGTATGGTGGAGTTAATCCTGAGCAATGGGTTTAGGTTTATCAACATCAACAATAAAATCTAAGCTAAACAGAGGCGAGGAACTTGATAGCAAAAGCAGTCTCCAAAGAAGTAGGGACTGACTGCATCCAAGATTTATTGCTTGCTTGGTGCCCAACTACAGACTGCATACATGGAGTGAATCTGTGGTGGCAGACAGCCCTTCATGCTTAGATTTTTTTTTCTCCTTAGATGTTTCTTTAACAAAAAAAGAAAAAAATTTACATATAAACTGTTTTACAGCATGTGACTAATCTCACATTGTTTAACAGTTACAATTCTATTAATGTATACCATAAAAATTTCATTCTCATTTGAACAATTTTGTTTCTGTCCCAAAAGCTCATTTCTAAATGCAAGAAACACTTGATTCAATTACACTTATGCTGGTTGGAGGTAAATATTTCATCTGTTATTTACTTATCTAATATGAATTCCAGATTTCAACGAGATACACCTGCCAAACAGGGTGCAGGTAAAAAGTACCACACCTTACCTCTGTCACTGTCATACAAATATGCGAACTTGGTCCACTGATAGTATTCGATCAAGCTAAGAAGAGCTCCCTTGAGGTCAGGTCTCATCTGAATGACAAAGGGATGTGTTCCATCTGTTGGGAAGCTGGGAGTTATGAAGGAGACATGAAGAGTCCCACAGAATGATGTTATGGTATTTACAGACTTCTTGTCATAGAATCCAAAAATAGCAAAGACTCCTCTTGAAAATTGGGAGCAGACTAGAAAGAAGAAAGACAGAAAATTAGTGGGAGAATATATTTTAAAAAATTATTGAAAACTCTATCATGTATATATTTATGAGAAATGTATGTCTGACAAGTATCTGATCACATAAATATCAGGCAAAAAAGTAATACTCTGCTATGGAAATAATTTGATAGTATTATTAATCAGTAATATAAAACCTACACTAGAAAATACAAAACCAGAAAGTATCAGTGATGCACACTCCTAGATGATAAATGCAGAAATAAAACTCAGCAACTTATTCTTAAATTCAATTTATGTGGTAAAGAACAGTGATGACAGACATCAATGGCAGTTGCAATTCAAAAAATGAGGCATTATGACCACACATAGCATTATGGAAATAGATAATGCTTTGTCATGCTAAAAATAAACTGCCTCTGAGGTTAAGACTCACTGAGCTTTCTACAAAATACTTTAAATAACTTTCCATCTGTGGAAACACAAAGCCAAAACTAAACCCAAATCTATCAAGAGCAGTAAGAAGTCCATTTGCTTTAAAACCTTCCTGTATCAAAGCATTATTTTAATTCCTGCTTTGTCGGACTCAGCAAAAGCTGGTCCTTCTGGATGACACTCGCGGTCATGTTGCAGGAAGAATAACCTCATACATGTAAATAACATGCTGATTATTCACTTTTTATCTGGAGACAATTCAAGCCAGTTGATGAATGTGACCACGACAGCCTGTGCAAAAGAGCTGGTTCTTCTGGGCTATTTTTTTCTTTGAGACTGCAGGGTATATTAGTCCCTAAGTTCTAAACCCAGGGTACAAGAAGGAAATATTAATCTCTGACTAATTCACACTTATCACTTATGCATTCTTTGGTTTGCAGAGTCACCTTGAACAAGACACATCCTTCCAGAGACACCTGACCTGCTTATAGATAGAAATCACTGTGTAATAGATGCTAATTTTTCCCAGCCATTTAGTGCACTAATCCTTGAAAATAATTCATATAAGGGCAAAAATAAGTTGGTTTATTTTCAGAATTTCCTAGATTTGAACTAATAACATATTTTTATCTTTCAAAGTGATTGCATCTTTATTTTTTAAATCGTGTTTCATTTTTAAAAATAAATATTATCCCTTTATGCCTGTTACTACTCATTGCTATATTCTTTCCATGGCTTTGCCTAGGTATCTATGCTACCACTCATCTCTCACGCCCTAATTATTCCTCTACTCCAATTAAAAGCATCTAAACAGGATGAGTGAAATTCTGAGTCTGCCAGTTTTAAGTTTTCACCTATTAACTTTAATTAGGTCAGAATATTGCCTCAGGTGAGAAAAGACAAGTGATTAAAGAACTTGATGAGTAGCACCTCTTTATAAAAGGATACTGCAGGTTTTACAGGGCTAGAGTACAAGATGGTCAAACCTTTTCCATTCTAATTACAAATCATTACAGAATCATAGAATTGTTTTGAGTGGAAAAGACCATTAACATCATTAACATCAGAGTCCAACCATTAACTTGGCACTGCAAAGACTGTCACTAAAACATGTCCTGAAGTGCCACATCTCAAATCTTTTAAAGACACCCATGATAGTTACTAAACAGCTTCCCTGGGACAATAGTTCCAATGCCTCCCAACCCCTCCCATGAAGAAATTTTTCCTAATATCCAGTCTAAATATCTTCTATCCTAACTTGAGGCCATTTCCTCTTCTGTTTCTTGTTATCTGAGAGCAGGCCAACTTCCACATTGCCCTCCTTCCAGGCAATTGTAGAGACTGATAAGGTCTCCTCTGAGCCTCCTTTGCTCCATGCTAAATATCCCCAGCTCCTCCAATTGGTCCTCACACAGCTTGTGCTCCAGACCCTTCCCGAGGTCCGTTTCCCTTCCCTGGACACGTTTCAGCCCCTCAATGTCCTTCCTGTAGTGAGGGGCCCAGAACTGGACACAGGATTTGAGGTTCAGCCTCACCAGTGCCGAGTACAGAGGGACAGTCACTGCCCTGGTCCTGCTGGCCACACCATTGCTGATCCAGTCCAGGATCCACTGGCCTTCTTGGCCACCTGGGCACACGCTGGCTCATGCTGGCTGCTGTTGACCAGCATCTCCAGGTCCTTTTCCATCGGGCAGCTTTCCAGCTGCTCTTCCCCCAGCCTGTAATGCTGTGTGGGGTTGTTGTGAGCCAAGAGCAGGATCTGGCATTTGGCCTTGTTGAACCTCATACAAGTGGCCTCGGCCCATCAATCCAGCCTGTGCAGATCCCTCTGTGGAGCCTTCCAGCCCTCCAGCAGATCAACATGCCCACCCAGCTTGGTGTCCTCTGCAAACTGACTGAGAGTGCACTTGATCCTCTCATCCAGATGGTTGATGAATACATCGAACAGGCTGGCCTCAACACTGTGTCCTGGGAGACACCACTTGTGACTGGCTGCCAGCTGGATGGAACTCCATGCATCACTGCTCTCTGGGCCTGACCATCCAGCCAGCTTTTTACTCCTTCAAGCCATAAGCAGTCAGTTTCTCCACGAGAACGCTGTGGAAAATGGTGTCAAAGGCAGGTAGACAAGATTCACAGCCTTTCCCCCACCCACCAAGAGGGCTGTCTTGCCATAGGAGATCAGGCTAGACGAGCAGAACATGCCTTTCACAAATCTGTGCTGGCTGAGCCTGATCACCTGCTTGACCTGCATGTGCCTTGTGACATTCAAGATGACCCCAGCACCAAGGTTTGACTGACAGGCCAGGCAGATGGGTGTCACCTTTGCTAATTTCCAGACAACAGGACCTCCACAGTCTTAGCAGACTTGATATCAAGTCAACTGATCCACGACCAAAAAAAACCTCAAAAATCAAAATTCTACTGATGACACGAGGCTTAGAGCCAGGTATTGATCTGCTGGCTTGCTGTTTTTTTCTGTTCCTTCTCTCATCTTCTCTATACCTAGAAGGATAGAGGAAAATGCCACTCGTGCTCCTGATCCCACAATCAGTTGTCCCAAGTCCCTGAAGTCTCTTGGTTGCTCTCAGAGAAGCTTCAGGGACTTGGGACAATCTTCAGGGACTTGGTCAGACTTCTTGTAGCCACTTCATTACAGACTGAAAAAAATCAATCAAGGATAATCAAGCAAAGGCAGTATTCAGGGCAGGAAGGTTTCCCTTCATGTCTTAAACCCAAGCCCCAAGGAGGCACAGCTGGTTGGCATAAGGTGCCTTCTGTTCCCTTCAGAGGGGACTCTCCTATGGAAATGACCCATCTTTTTTCTTTATGGAAGCAGCTTTGATGCAGAGCATAGGCCAGCCTCAGCAACACCTCCATGCTGGATGAATCAATGTCCTTGTTATTGTTCAGCTTCCCTTGCAGAGCCTCAGACCTGTTATGGGAGGGCACCTGGGAAGGTGGGGCAGTCACAGAGGAGACAGCTACACCAGGCAGGAACCTGTCACCATTGCTCCCTATCCCTTAAGTCACTGTGTTCACCCAGGCAGAGAGAGGAAAGGGAATCCTCTGTGTCATGAATCCAGTCTGCCTGTCCAGCCTGTGCCAGGGAAAGCAGGTAGATTTTGGTCCCTGTCTCTCTCTCTCTCTCTCCCTACTACTCCTCAACCCACTCACCTCCCAGAACTCTGCCACTGAGCACAGAGGAGTTCCCCTGCCCAGGCACACCTCCCTGTTGCTGGTCAGTACTGCTAAGAGCAGGCTCCACCCTCCAGCCCTACACCTGTGTGGCAGCATGTTCCCATCAGAGCCCTGCCTCTGGGCAGCTGTGTTATGTTGGACAAAGATTCTGAAAAAGGCTGTGAATTTTCTGAATAGCTTTATGTTTAAGTTACTGGAACTCTTTGTTCTATTCCACATCATTATGCTCTCGCTGAGGCAAAACCAACTCACTACCTCCCCACACACTCATGAATAATTGTTTCCCATGTGCAGCAAAGGCTAAATACCATCTGAACTTGCTACAATAAAGGAATTAATGCCTCATAACTCACCTTCAGAAATGCACATAAAAATAGAGCATCAGTTTACTTCTGGATTCCTGGATGAGAATCTTGCAAAGACTGTTACTTGTACACTACTGTGACCTTCTGAATTAAACAATTTTAATACTGCATATAAGGTGACAGAGACAACAGTCTCATCAAAGGACCACTGAAAAATAAAAATGTTTTATGCCACTACTGCCAACACCTAGGATGCATTTCTCCTGTCACACTGCTTTTCTTCCATCACCAGTCAGAGATTTTAGGCACAGGTGGAATAATGTTCCCTACAGCAGCCAACAACCAAAATCTGAAAACAATAGGCGATGTCTTTTCAGAATCAGCACCCATCCTCTCCTCACCTTCCTGACACTGGAGACCTTTATCTTGACCCATGAGTTTTCTCACTTTTTCTCTGCCTATCTTTTCCTCTGCATGCTGGGGACAGAGGGGAGAGTGAGTGGTGGGGCAGGTGGTAGGGTTAGCCCATGAGAGGGTAAAAGGTGTTATTCCACCTTCCACCCACAGGACAGACCTCTAAATACCGCTGGCGTGTGAGCCACTGTCCCTCTTCAGTGATACAGACATACACCCACTCTACTCTCTTCAGAAGACAACTGCTATTATTTCCAGCTGAACATCCTCCTTGACAAGGCACAAAATCACACCACCTCTCATCACAATTTACTTAAGCATAGGATTGGATTAACACAGTGAACAACTCTCTGTTTAATAGTCTATACACCTGATAAATCATCAGTCCTTACATACATGTGTCTTCTTCTGAGGAAGGTTGGTAAAACTGGAATTTTGATCTCCTCTCCTGCACAAAGTGAAAGACAAGTAAAAAGAACCACCTCCATCTAGGAAAGTCATGTCACTGCAGTTCTAAGTACCTAGAGGAGCTGCAGTTTAAAAGCTGAATTACATACACACAGAGGGAAACAATCCCAACAAATATGGTAAAAGCAAAAACATTTTATATTTTTAAAATTATTATGAAACCTGCAAAACAGATACAATGTCTCATT